GCGACGACTCAGCTATTGCGGTCCCCTGGGGAGTTGCTCCTCCTCTTGATGATGTAAGCTTGAGTTCCTTTCAAGCCAAGCGGAGCTGGCTCCTCGCCCCTAAAGGCAGCAGGAGCCTGAGAAAGTTGCCACCTGTAAGGAACGAGGCGCGCTGGACATCGCTGAACGGTGCAGGCCGTGCCTAAGCCCAGCACCTGCTGATGCCTCGCCCCTGAAGGCAGCAGGCTTACCATTTGTCAACGCGATGTCTGGCTGGCGAATGCTAACATCGTGCTGCTTGCGTTCGCTGAGGTTCAGACTAGAGCTGGATCCTCAGTGGATTTGATCTGAAAGGATGAGCTAGGCTGAGCTAGGGATTGTTTCTCTCAGATAGATGAAGCCCTGTTTTCGGCAGTAGCAAATTTGTAGCCGCTCTTCCTGTATTTTACAGGCAGCGTCCTGGGAGTTACTCCTCAGGAAAAAGATGACACGCTCCCATGCGCCGCTGTGTCCTGCTGGTCCCGGGAGCTACTCCACAGGGTAAAAATGGGGAGTGGCTCCACCTGGCTGTCGGTGCCAAATTGCACCTAACCTGAGCTTTGAATGCGCTCGCCGTCCCGGTCATAAAGATCACCAGTGCGCAGGGACTGGAAGCTGGTGATGCATACCGGCGGCACCTCATCTGGCGTCAAATACACTCCGTTTCGGCTGATGAGAAATCTGACGCCTTGCTCAGATGCTTTGCGGGTTGAGATTCTCACCAGCATGGTGGAGCCCTCCCTCTGACCAGAGACACCACCTGCGTCGCTAAAGAAGTGCACATGTTGTCGTCCCTCGCGCCACTTGCCTCCCTTACGGCCTCCTTTGCCGCCTGAAGTCTGCGACCTGCCAGGAAGAAGCCCCCTTTGCTGGATGCTTTCATAAGCATTCCAAGAGGTGCCATGCAACAGCGTGTCGGGGAGTTGCTCCTCCGACACTGGCTCCAACAAGTTCTCTTCGCCAACCTCTGTTCTAGAATGACCTTGTACGGCCCGAATATAATAAGGGCCATCAACTTGGAGGCCCAGTTGATATCTCTGTTTTCCATTGCTTCGAACCACCTCCAAAATGTCCCCGGCGGAGGCGGAGGTCTCAGCAATACGAGGCCAAAAGAGCACCTCGGACAGTCGTGCCCACCCCGCTTCGTTGACGTGTATGCGCGGCTTGTGGTGATGACGAAGGCATGCGGCAAGACCTTTGGAGATCTCAAATGCCAGCGGGCTCTCTGGGTTCTTCGCAGATTCCCGAAAGGATCCAAGCGATCCCTCTTCGCCAAGCCATTCCTGGATCTCCGGGGGCGTCTCCTCGACAGTTGCTAGGGCCCCACTTCCTCGGGCTGTTCCACTGGAGGGAAGAGAGGGCTCATGTGGTACCATCTCAGAGGAGCTCGAGGGAGTATCTCCACTCTTTGTTGTTCCCAGGGGAGTTTCTCCACCCGAGGATCCCACAGACGTCACATGCACTGACAAACGACCCCCAAGTCCGAGCGCTTCGAAGGCTGATCGCGCTGCTTGCAGGGGCAGCTCAAGGCTGCCCGCTCCATCAAGTACTCTGACGCCTGGAGGCTCTGCTGCGTGGCTATACGGAGGTGTATCGCCACGATTTGTACGCTGTCAAACGCTTGTATGACTTGGTTGGTCTGTTTACCTGCCTTGAGGCTGCCACGGATGTCGTACACCACCTCCACGCACGGCTTCACAAAGATGTGTTTCGCGCCGTAGCGCGTGAGGGAGCTGGGAAGGCGACGGCGCTGCCAAGTTTCGAGGAGAGGTCCTCCCCCGCCAGGCCTTTCCTTGTACGGAGAAATGACGATATGAGGGCATTGGCGATGTCCGTGTTGGGCTCTTGACACGGGCTAAGGCCCTCGATGAGCTTCTTGGTGGCCGCAACAGTCAGTCGTCCTTGGTTGATGTCCGCGATGGTGCCACCACAGGAAGGAACATAATCCGGAAATTCAGGATCCTCCAGCACTTTGGAAGCCTTCCTTTCTTGACTCTCCAGGACTTGCTGCTGCACTGACTGAGCCCTCGCAGTCTCAAGGGGAGTATCTCCACCTTTGGCCTTGACTGCAGGGGGAGCATCTCCACCCTCAGCTACCTCTTGTCGCCTCTTTGGGGGAGGCGGTGGGGGAGTCACTCCACCCTTGCCGCCCTTCCCTCCCTTCTCTATGGGAGGCTCACCTCGTGCTGCGTGCCCTTCCTCCGAGCGGCGCCATTGCCGCAAATAGTTTCTATAAGAAACCTTGGGCAATCCGTCCGCGGCCCGGCGCGCTGAGTAGGCCGCGTACTCCGCGCGGTAGGAGTCATCCTGCTGTGACATTCCTCCTAGTCTACTACTGTGGAAGTAGTTCTCTGCTGAGTGGACATGTTGCGTGCGTGAATGGTGATTCTGGGAGCCAGCGTAAGCAGGTGCCTCTATAAGTCGCCCTGAGCATGAACACAAACACGGATGCAGAGCAGACAACTCGAGGCCCTGGCGTGGGATCGGGCCCTCGGTTTCCGAATGGTCTGTGCGTTCATTCAAGGCAGGCAGAAGGCAGGCTCAAAGAGCTTTTTCCATCATGAAGCACTTATCCCTTGGCTGCTAGTCTAGACCCGGATCTATACTGAAGCCACAATCCGTCAAGTCCACCAGATCTTCAACCGGCAGATTGTGTAGGTGGCGGGCGTGGAAGGCTATCAAAACCAGCCTGTCGCCATGCCAAGGCATAGTGGCATGTTGTTGCGACGGGCTAAAACGTATCGGTGAAGTGACATCCATGATGCTGCCCAAAGGTCCATCAGCCTCCAGGCGAACACTCCCTCTGTCATTCTGAAGCCAGATTCCGCCTCCTTCGAAGATGGAGCAGGGAACGAGAAGGTTGCTGCTTCCACGAGCATTATGACTGTCGCGATGTGCAGAGGCTCCCGTGTTGAGAGATAGTGTGCAAGAGCTGAATCTGTGCTCTGGGTCAATGGCCTGAATGATCATGGCTAAGACCTGTGTAACTCTTGGATATTCCTTCATGTGCCGGGTGATGCCAACGATAGGCCCCCGCGCGCAGGCTCCTGTGGTGAAAGTCACTGGAGCGAGCTCTCCGGCTCGTGTGTGCTGCGGGAATCTTGATTGCCGCGGTTGCGGCAGGAGCTGAGCTATGCGGAGAAGATCCGCCCATTTTGCTTCCCCTGCACTCAGGCACTGGTTCGCTATTAACTCAGCTGGATGCATGTCCCCCGTGATGGGTCTGTCGATGGGCTCGATCAGATACTTTTGCAACTGTAGACACGCTCGAAAGACAGTATCACTCTGCGCATAGACCGAAACTGGCTCCTCCAAGATTCTGTTCAGCGAACCGGCATACACGTCCTGCGTGCATTGTGGGACATGTACTGCGCCGAGCGGTGCTTGAGGGGCTGCTGGCGAGCGTTGCTCCGATGGAGCTTCCCCCTCCGAACCTTCCGTGAGATCTATGCAATGATCTGGATTGCAGGGTACCAACGTCCGCTGAAAGCGAGCATGTGCACGGCCTCCCTGACTGAAACCATCCATCATGATCGTGTATGGTCGGATTCCACTAAATCCTTTGGAGAGTCTGCTCAGCAATGTTGCGGTGAGAGAACAACGTGTTGCAGACGTGACAGATCCTATTGCAGTGAATACAAACGGTCTGAAATCCTGACAGACACCAGTAGTGCGCAAGCCTCATTTTGAAAATACCGCCACAGCTATGATTACCAGGTCTCAAAGCCGCCTCATCGGGAGTTACTCCTCGGGAATGTAGTAAGGCCTTCCAAGGCTCCAACGAGGCCTGGTTGCAGTGTAGGAAGGCAGACGAATGAAGCTAAATGCGAGCCGCTGCCTTTTTCAAAAACTCATGGCCAGCCTCCCTCGGCAGTTACTCCACCGCTCTTGGGGGTGCCTCCTCCAAGGAGTTCACTGAGCTTGAGGTCCCACTCCGCTATCGCCGCATTGAACACAGCGTCTTCCTTGAAAAAGCCCTGACGCGTGACCTCAGCGTTCACCTCGAACTGCTGGCGAATGTCATGGGGTAGCAAGGATTGCGTATGCCCGAGAATGTGGGTTTCACGGGAAGCGCCTTCCAAATCGTAGAGGAAGCCCGCCAACCTCGACCAGCCCAGTTCGGTGGGCTCACGCGACTTAGCCATCGCATAGTACATCATCGCCAGCTGGCCGAGGGAGTGTCTCCGCTGCAGCTTGATCTCCTGCCACTCATCGTACCCCCTCAGGGTCTCGCAGTACGAGTGCAGGCGCTTGAGCTTGTCCGCGGGGAGTATCTCCGCCGCAAGAAGAAACAACTGTGCTTTGATCTTCACCATCTTCGTTTCGATCAAAGTCTGCACCTGCGTGATGTACGAGCCGGGGAGTGACTCACTACCGGCCGGAACCTCTGTCTCATGATACAGCGCTGCCAAAACTGGGAGGAGCACCTCCACAAGACGGGCAGGCTGGAGACGGTAGGCCATGATCGCTAGGGGCAGGGAGAGTTGCTGAGAGCTCTTGAGAAACACGAGGCTGCAAAAGTCGCTGCTGCTAACGCCGGCGCGATCCAACCTTGCCTATTTACCTAGAGTGCAGGGCAGACATGCCTGACGGGAGCAACTCCACGTGTGTAAACCTGCAGCAAGAGCTTTTGTCGAACTTATGCAGGAAAGGAAAACTGAGCTTGCAACACCAATGCGGGAGTGACTCCACGCCAAACCTCGGACAACACGAAGAGGGCACTACTACTTATCTGCCTCATATGCGAGCCTGCCATATTTGTTCCCTATCTTGCAGAGTCTCCCCCCTGTTCACCTTCTGCTGATTGGCGAACCACGAAAGAAATCCTCCAGTGACATTTCGGCAACGCCTGGCTACTGCCCACTCAAGTGGCTGAGAGAGGAGTAGCTGAGGATGCTGTGTCTGAATACAATGTTCATGTAGCCGCCTAGACAAACTCACCTGAATGAAAACATGATTCTTGGTAGCTGTCAGGCTCGAGTAGCAAGAGATAGCAATTGCCTGAGATCAGCGGATCAGTGAGCTGACATGCAGAGGGGGGACTGGAGTCGTCTCCTAAGTACCACTGTGCTTCAGCTCGGACGAAGCTTCTGTAATGCCCTGAGGTGGGCTCCTCCCCCAGATGGACCACACCAGCTCGAAGCCTGAAGGGATGCCAGGTCAGGGTTGACCCCTCTCCTTCATATGCAGGGAGCAGCGGTGACTCCAGGAGTCGAATGGGACTGCTGTTCTTACCATCTCCTGCGTACCTCGGCAAAGCTAGGAACACAAACAGTTCCACTGCTACCAGGGCTCGGACCGGCATTTGCCTGCTCCATAGGTTAATCATAGTTTGTAAGTCCTCGGCCAGCGGCACATTCAGGAATATTGGGCTAGTCCCTTCCTCGTCTACCACATAACCCGCCTCCATTGGAGACCGCGTCTCCCAGCAGCAGACCTTCGTGACAGAAAGATTCGGGAGTATCGCGCTAAGAAACTCCGCTGCATCTTGTTGATTCCCATCGCATGTCCAGCCTCGAGTGACAGATTCCAGGGCGTGATGTTCGGGTGCTATTCGCGCTAGTTGGCTGGTTCGATGCGCTTCCTGGAGTGCTTGCGAGTCTGTCGAGGGCACCACCCAGTGCAGAATTTGCAGCACGGAATTTGCATAACAGTGATTGCGTCGATTAGCTAGAAGCCAAAAGCCCTCCAGAATAAAAACTGGAGCTGGTAGGCCTACGTGCTGAATTCGAGGGGCTCGGGCTTGGGTCGCCTTTGGCCTCGGCTTGGCTTCATACGCTCTTGGAGTCAAATCTAGACCTTGTTTTTGAGCTTCCTGAAGTACGTGCGTTTGGAGGAGAGGAACGCACTGCTCGGAGTGCCGGCCGGGAGCATCGACCTTGGTTCTGCAGTAGCGGCAGGCGTGCCCCTTCTTCATCATGACCTTATGAAGCTGAAGTCGTGGTGTGATGATCTGCTGAACGCTGCTCATGACCTCAGGATGCTGGCGGTTTAAGTGCTGCTTGACTGCCTTATTGCCCGCTAAGGCCTGCCCACAGAGCGAACAGCTTTCCATGAGCCAGATGTGCAGGTCAGGATTCATGGCGGCATTCCCCGGGTCACGAAGAGCTTCCGCTTTGACTTGCTCATGCACTCGTTCGAGTTCCGTTGCGCGTGTCTCGGCCTCTGTCTCGTTCTGAAGTAAAACGCTCACGCGCGGGCAAGTAGAGGCCTCTACATGATGACGCAAAAAGAAGTAAGATCGGAACATGCGTCCGCATGCTAGGCATTCGGGCGTTCCGGCCTTAGCGTGCATTTTGGGATTAAAGCGTGGGCCTTTCGGGAACAAGCGGGCTCCAGGGTGATGCTTTTGGGAATGTCGCCTTAGTGCACCCGTGCCTATGAAAAGAGATCCGCATTCAGTGCACACTTGTTGTTGCTGCTGATCTGTACTGCTTGTTCTGGCTGCCGCAGCTAGGTGAGGCAGGCTGTCACCCAAGCTCTCAGCCCTGGGTAGATAGTGCTGCAGGAGAGCGTCTTTATCGCCTTTGTGCTGACGTTTCATGAACTGACTCAAACGCTTCAGCACCTGGGCTTTGGCCGTCTTGAAGCCTCTGCGCTGCATGAACTGCTGATTGTTCTCGTGCGTTTCCTGGGAGTAGCTCCTCAGGACGAAACGCAGCTGAAAAATCATGTGTGACTCAAGTTGGGCCAGCCCTTGCGGTGTCAAGCCCACCACATGAAGGCCGTACATTGCCGACGCCCAGGCGGTGATGCGCCAGATCGACAGTCTGCGCTTTTCCGTGATGGCTCGGCTATTCCGGACTGCATGGGCCACTTCCTTTAAGGCAGCTTTGCTGGCTTGTAGGCGATGTCGGAGAGACTTCATCTCGTAATCCTGGTAAGAGATAATGATTCCTAGGTAAGGAACCTGATTTTTAAGCGCAATCAGCCTGCCAGAGGGGGTTAAGAGGCTTTGCCGGATCTGTTGCGCTGAGCCCCCGTGCATCTGAAGAAGCAGCGCCGATCTTTCCGGATTCACTTTGAAACCGAGCTCCATGAGCTGATCCAGTAGCAGGTCGCATAGGTGGAGCGAGTCTAGTAGTTGTTGTCTATCGTCAAAGTGCATTTGAAGAAGCGTGTCATCCGCATACATTGTGAGTATTCGCTTCAATGTTGCTATGTCACACTGCTCACCCAGTCTGCGGAAAAGAAGAAATGTGGCAAATGCGAATAAGGACGGCGCCAGTTTGCACCCTTGCTTGATGCCACGTCTAGTGGCTATACTGAAGGCCTGATCACTGGCTGTCATGTCGCAAAGAGCTTCTATGTGCAGTTTACCCACCAGGTCTATGAGGAAGGGGTCCGCTTCTGCTAGCTCCAGTGGTTCTCGCAATCGTCGACGATCGACCATGTCAAACGCCTTGCTCATGTCGACACTAAATGTGATGCTTCCCTGTAGTTTAAGGCCTCTGTGGCCGCGTCCTGCCTGTCGTATTATGACTTGCTCGTCCTCTGGCCTCGTCTACGTGTGTCAGCGCCTTACATATTGCTTCCTCCGTCCCCCGGCTTGCGTTCTGGTGCTATTACACCGATCGGCCTCAGTGAGGCCGGCTTGTCCGGTTTTTTCGGGGGTTTGGGAAGCCAGGATATGCTGGAACTGGTGATTTTGGAATCCATTCGTGATGCCTGGACCTCTGTATTTAGGAGGGTGGCTATGTGCTGTTGGGCCACGGGTCCTAGGGATCTCCAGGGGACTATGGGAGGACAGTCGCGCGGGACTGCCTTACCCAACTTGATGGACCGAAGCTGGTCCATGACATCTGATGAGGTCATACCTAGAGAACCGACGGCGCCCTGCAGCTGAAAGTCATCTCCCGTCCCAAACAGGTCCTTGGAATATTCCTCAAGGACCCTACGCTCTTCCTTTGCGGTAAGGAAACGGCCCTGTTCATCACGGAGCTGCACTCTTTCATGCGGTTTGCCTGTCTTGAAGGAACGTATGACTTTATAGAGGGAGTGACTCCCGCTCTTAGCCTCAGCCTGAGCCAGCTGCTCGTCTATGAGTTTTTGACGCTGCTTAAACTTGCGCTGTTTGGCAGTACGAGCTGCTGAGCTCTGCCGCGCAACTGCAGCCCAGGTGCGCCATACTATGCGTTGTTTGAGTTGCCGATGCAGATCCGCCATTGCTACAAGAACCTCAGGAAGGTCGCGCAGGGTCCTGCGATATTCCCACAGACCCGCGCTGAAGCGGCGATGCACGGTTCTCTTCTTTGGGAACTCCGTCTGCATCGCCTTCTCCATAGATTGCCGGAGAAGTTCCCAGGAAGGCTCTGTCCCTGCTAGATCAGTATCAACCATTCGTGCGTAGTTGGCTACGCTGTCAGAATCCATCCGATAGCAGTCCTCCATGACTGCTTGGTCGTAGGCTTTTACAGGTTGTGCGGAGTAGCTCCTGCTGTGTACTAGCCTGCCTAGGAGAGGGAAATGGCGGCTGCCGTCGCGCCAGCTGGCCACCGGAAACTGACGGCAGGGAGAGCAACTCTTCCCCGGTCCGCGTGCCTGGCTTTGTCTGAGAAGGACGAAATCAATTTGGCTTATTGAGTTCCCCTGCACATGAGTTGCAGGCTTGCGGACTGACCAAGTATTGGCGGCTACGAGTTTATGTTTTTCTAGGAGCCCAAGGAGATCCTTAGTACCACGCTGTCCTAACCTGCTGAGACCAATTGTACAGGGGCCAACGTGTTTCTTATCCGGCTTCAGGGAAGTGTGTTCAAATCGCCCGCGACCAACAGGGAATTACGTTGCGGTAATGATGCGATCGTCTGTGAGAGCTTCGCCAGAGCATCCTTGCGCTGCTCCTGATTTTGAGTGAGGGTCTGTTTTGACCTCCAGACAAATTGATAAAAGGAGATGACATCCAATGAAAAACTCTCCCCAGGTATGCGTACGTGCAGCAGTCGGCCTGGCAAGATCTCATTGAAGCGAACATCCTTCGCCTTGCATAGACTTCTATGCACCATGATCAGAACGCCAGCCCCCTGTTCGTTGTGCGTGCCAGAGCTGACCACGTGCCAGCAGGACTTGCTGAACTGCCAGCTACCTCTCCAATGAGTTTCCTGTACTACCACAAGCTTCACATCTGAATATGCATCCGTCTCGAGAAGGGAGAGTAACTCTTCCCAAACTGCTGTAGTCAGCGCTCCTGCGTTCCAAGACAGGTATCGAATTTCGTCTTTAGTAAAATTGACTGGCTTTGGCTTGTTAGATCTCTCAAGCGGCAAGGCAGTCGGAGTGCCTCCAAGCTGCTGTAGGGTGAGACTCTTGCCTCTGTGGAAGGCCGTCCCGTTCTTCTCTACCTGTCGCAGGGCCTTCTGGTATGACCGTTTGCCCGCCCCTTTGGGGTGCAATGATCGTTTGCTAGCTGAGTCGTGATGCTGTTTCGCCATGCTCATATTAAGCATGACTCCTGTCGACTTCGCTGATCGACAACCCTCAC